CAAAGCTCAAAATGTTCAGCTCCTTTTACCTTGAGTTCAGCGAAGATTGGTAATTCCACGGCTGAAATCATCCAAATGATTCTAATGAAGGTGTTTGGAGTTTGCAAACGTACTGAAAACACTTCCTGTATTACCACATTACCTCACAAAGTGGAACAGAGCCTAAATATGCAGGATTTGTGTGTCAAACATGAGTGAATGAAAGGTATGTTTGTGACGTGGAAACATTATAACATAGATCAGAAAATAGCATCCATAAGTCGCCCAGACAGAATATCTCCAGATACATTTTTGTCATTTTCAGTTTTTTTTATTGTTGTTTTTTTGTGATAAATCCTTTGAATGTCAGACCTCCATTTTGTGTGTTCCGTTCTATTGTGTTGGCCTAGTTTTCATCACAAAAGACAACGTTTCTTTGGGCTGTGAACACTTTCTCAAGTCAGAACACTTTGAAGAGATCCACATTTTCAAACAGACTTACGACCTGTTTACTTTTGTTATGTTTTTCTACAGGGACCTTGAATGGAAACTTTTTGGCACCGACAAGAACGACACAATTTAGAAATCACAATTATACATATTACAATATTTTATGATCTATGTTTTAATGTCTTCTCCACACCTTCTTGATGTCACAAGGTGGAACAGAGCGTTTTGAGCTTGGGAGACGAGTTGATTTTGCGTAATGTAGGATCTTTAATCAAATTTAGTAATTGAATCATTGTCATCTGGACTCCAAAGCATGCCGTGAGCTAAGATGTAATGATTTTCCATCGTCCTCGCTTTACCTACATCTGGGTCAAATTTAGTAAAACTCTCTGATAAATCAAAGTAATTATCCCCAAAATAATCATTATAGCTGCAGCTCTACTTCTTCCAATCTACAGTTTTTGAGCAAGTTAACAAAAAATTTACCATATTTTTTGGACTATAAGGTGCACCGGATTATAAGGCGCATTAAGAGAAACAAACAAACAACACTTGAGACTGATCCCTTAGCCCAGGCATCCACTATCCACTGGCAGATCATGGCATAATTCGCCCGCCGTTGTCTCCTTGTCTTGGTGAATGTGGATTATGAATGTGAATGTGGGTGGATCATTTAAGTTTGTTTTTTTGTTTCCTATGAGAACGACTCAAATATACATGGAGTAATAATGTTATTAATGCAGCTTTGCGCACATTTGGTTACATTTTCCAGAAATGAAACTTAAAACCACATGGCTCATTTGCATAAACTATAAGCACTGAAAAAAACAGCTCGTTTCTTGTGCGCTGATGCGGTTCAGCTTCTGTTGGACTAAAGGACACGACTCAGTGATGTCAGTAAGCACAAATAGAACTAATAAACATAAACAAAAGGCGCACCGGATTACAAGTTGATTTTTGAGCAAATTGAAGGATTTTAAGTGCGCTGTATAGTCCGAAAAATACGGTAAAAAGCTCTAGAGCTCATTCACACTTTCATAATCACCGTGTCAAAATTGTGGCTAAACTGGAACCAACAAGAGTCAGCTTTGGGTGCGTTTGCGTTTGGGTACATTCTGTGTTGGCAACGATTTCCGAGATCGAGAATTTAAAGCTGGAACAAATAGAATGTTTGGTGAATTTCATCAAGGGGAAAGACATTATTGCCCTTCTTCCTATGGAATTTGGGAAAACCTTAATATACCAGTTAGCGACGCATTACATACATCACGACCAAATAGCAGTGATTGGGTAAATGAAAAAAAGTACCCGCCTACTGTTGAGCGAACGAATTCTAACGCTGCAATGTCAGACAATTTCCACGAAGTGAAACCGGCTGATGAATGAGGCTGGTCCCTGCCATGTTAGTTTCACTGTTTTGCGTAACTTTAAATGTACTTAGCCCCTGTAGCAATTCATAACATATAATATTGGTGGTTTTCAGATTCTAAAATGTGATGATGAGTCAGATTTTCCCTATTGATCTTTGTCATGAATAATCCAAAAGGTGAATTCACAAATGCTCAGCCTTGTATTTTCAATTATTGACTAAACCCAAGAATATTACAACATCATTTTTTCTGCCTCCCATCTGTATTCATTAATATATGCCCGTAAAATATCATACTAAAAACGAAATTTATCTTGTTTTTATTCCGTAGTGCTTCCGGCTTACCAACTCCTCTCACTAAACATGTATCGAATTCACCACCAGAAGAAAAGATTTTATTAAAATCCTCAATCACCTGGACTTTTATGTTACGATATTGTCCGGTGAGGAGCTTTTTTTTTTTTTTGTACTGGTGCCCGTTTGTGCCAAAGGGGATAAGAGGTTAAAACGATAGGGGCCATCCAGTGTTGAAATATCTGCCTTCAGCCACTGTTCGTTTCCTGCATGACTTGTATTCGAGTGGGCCTTTGGGATTTGGAGCTTTCGTCTCTGTGAATGACCCTGGCGATGGTCCGTGTCAAATAAAACCTATGAAAATGTTGTAATTCTGTCCACACTAGTCCACTACCATTTCCTCTGTCCGGGTTGGCTATTGTCTTCTGACGGCTAAGAGTAAAAATAACTGGAAATTGGCCAGTTAGAGGCATAGAATGAGTCTTTGACACTAGTACAAAGAGGTTTCTGGTGGGTTTGCTCAGGGTTTTTCTTATGTGAAAGCCTTTAGTGAACTGAAAATGTACAGAAAATCTCAAAAAACTTAGAATAGACACAAAAAATATCGATATCGCACCATCCATTGATCTAACTTTGCTTCAGTTGGTTGACCTTGCTATAGAATTTTGTTGACACCAACAGATATCAGTTAATCGGTCACAGCAAGGTAAATATCGGATATTGGTATCGGTTGAAATGAAAAATATCGATATTGCATCATCCATTGATCTAACTTTGCTTCATTTGGTTGGCCTTGCTATAAAACTTGAATCACTGACACCAGCAGATATCGGTTAATCAGCCACAACAGCAGGGCGAATATTGGATATCGGTATCGACTTAAATGAAAAATATTGATATCGCACCATCGCTTCATAATTGATAAATTGAGCTATATTTACTTCGGTTGTTTGGCTTTGCTATAGAATTTCATGGACACCAACAGATATCAGTTAATCGCTCACAACAGCAAGGTGAATATCGGATATCGGTATCGGTGGAAATGAAAAAATATCGATATCGCTCCATCCATACATAATCTATAAATTGAGCTATCTTTACTTCAATAGAATTTGAATCATTAACATGAGCAGATATCAGCAACAGCAAGGGGAATATCGGATATCGTTATTGTTTGAAATGAAAAATATCGATATCGCATCATTACTACATAATCTATACATTGAGCTATCTTTAATAGAATTTGAATCATTGACACGAGCAGATATCAGTTAATCGGTCACAACAACAAGGGGAATATCGGATATCAGTATTGGTTGAAATGAAAAATATCAGTATCGCACAATCCCTACATAATCTGTAAACTGAGCTATCTTTACTTCAATAGAATTTGAATCACTGACACCATCAAATATCGGTTAATCAGTCACAACAGCAAGGTGAATATCGGATATTGGTATCGGTTGAAATGAAAAATATCAATATTGGACCATCCTACATTAATTTGCCTGGATTTGTCTTTCATTTTAAGGCTAAAAGTTGCACTTTTTTGGATTCTCAAAAACAAAAATGAAAATAGGACGTCTGATCAAACAGACACCCGCTCTCTTTGACTTTAGTCTTTCCTGGCTGTTCAGAAGTTTTTCACCTCAAACAATAAAATTCCCTATTTACAAATCCAATCATCAACTTCTGGATCAAAAAAAAGGGAAAAAAGAAAGACAAAAGTAAAAAAACAAAAAAAAACAGCCTTTGTCTCTGGTCCTTTGGTTTGAAAGAAAAAAGGAGGGAACATCAAAGATAAAAAATGATTACAGGCTGACAAGAGAAAGTTCTGGAAAACAAATGCAGTCAAAAGCGAGGAGTGAGTTGGTTTGACATAGAATGAGAATTTAAAGGGCCCATATTACGCTATTTTCTGAGTTTTAATGTTTCCTCATCACAAACATACCCAGAGTTGTGTTTTGTTTCATTCGCACATGTTTAACACGCAAACTCCTGCATATTTAGGCTGAGTTCTTCTCTCAAACTGAAAATACAGGTCATACAGGATGTGCTCCACTGTGTTTTTAAACTCCGAACACCTTTACTACAATCATCTGGATGATTTCAGATCTGGAGTTGCTGATCTCAACTGAACAAAAGGTAAAAGGTTGGTATTAACTTGAAAACTACCGCTTCAAAGTGGAACAAAGCTTTGGAAATGTAGACATTAGGGATGCAACGATATCCAAATCTCTCGAAACGATATTTTCACGATAACTATGTCACGATACGATATTTATTACAAACCCCCCCCCAAAAAACAAAAAACTACCAAAGAAGTGCTTAATAACAGTTATTTCAGCATGTAGATTGGACTAAAACAGAGCAAAGGATCATGGTCCATGTAGTTCTCTCTGTTTTTTAGCTGTTGCTGCACCATAACGATGAATTTAAGCAAATAAACTTGAAATTTTGATATATTGTGATGGCCCACGATATTACTGTGAGATTTTTTGACGATACGATATCACGATATTTCGGTTATCGTTACATCCCTACTAGACACGCTAATGAAAAATTGTTACTCAAACATGTGAAACAAAACACGACTTCAGGTCTGTTTTTGAGGAAATAACAGCATTATAACATGTCTTAAAGAGTCAATTTTGCGTAATATAAGACCTTTAAACACACCTTTAGGCAACTCCGATATATAGTTGCAGTATTCAGTGTTACATTTTACATATTTCTAAATCATATTAACGTAATTTTCATCCACTTATGCGTACAATCATTGCCATGTCAAACCAAATCCTAGATCCATGAATGTTAATTAAAGGCTCGCAGTTGTCATGGGAATACAAGATGGACACTGATTGCCTCTAGAAACAAAAAGAAAAAAAAAATAAAAATCTTAGGGACATTAAAATAATAGGCTTATATCTTCACTCTTCACTTGTGGAATAGATATATATATATATATATATGTATAAAAAAGACACATCAGAGTAGCCGTCTTAGCTTTTATCTCCTCGCTCGTCTGCAGTCGCTTTTCGCTTGCTCCGCTTGAATTGCCTCTTGATGTTTCTCGTCAACATCTGTGAGAGGACGGACGGAGCCATCAAAACCAAATCAGGGCCCCTTTGATTCGTCAGGAACCCGCTGTCTTCGGACGGGGCTGTAATTGGGAGAGAACAGACTGGGGGCCTGGACAAGACACGACAAGCTAAGAACTCAATGATCAACAGCCAGTCGCGAAGAAGATATTGGCTATGTTTGTTGTTGTTTTGTTTTTTTTTCTTTTTTTTTTTCTTTTTTTTTACGGCAGTTGAAATTTTATGGCTCATTTTTACCACCGTTTTGCGATGCGTTTTGTTTTTTTTGGATCTCAATACTGGTGGTAATACTCGTGGTTGTTTACTCCGTACAGCTCGGCCAGGGTTCTGAAGCGAGGGCCCCAGTCGTTGAGGAAATCGTAATCCAAGTTCGAGCCACTGGAGGAGCTATCGAGCGAGCTGAGGCTGCCGGCTAGCGACTCGGGGCCCTCGTAGCCGTAGATGTGTAAGGTGTCGTAAGGGAAGCCGTCGCGGTCGTGGTCGGCTTCGAACTTCTTGTCCTCGATCATGGCCGCCATGTCTCCCTTGCAGGCGTTGGGCTGGTGGGGGTGGGGCTTCTGGACCATGGCGTAGAGGGAGGGGTGGGGGTGGTTGTCCGGGTGACGCAGCAGAGAGCCGTCATGGCAGGCGGAGGTGAGGATGGAGACGTCATAGCTGTAATGAAAAACAACACGTTGATTATGTTAGCATGAGTTCTACTGAACCTTTAAATGCCTATGATAGATTAGACTACAGTATTTTTCAGACTATAAGTCACACTTTTTTCATAGTTTGGGTGTTTCCTGCAACTTATACTCAAACTTATGCTTATACTCGTACTTATACATATAGGTGCAACTTATATATTAAACTTTTCACACTGTCAGCTGTGAGAGGCTCTAGTCTTGTGTGTCAATATCTGCTGCTCCTGTTCCTCCTGTACCACTGTCACTTGGCTCTACTGCGCATGTCTCCTGCAGAAAAAGCCTCTGTCCTGTCCTGAAACTTTAAACAAACTTATAAAGATGACTGAGAAGACTGAATACAGATGCCTCCAAACAGAAAATCATATTTTGGAGATTACAAGCTGCAAGTAAAGAAATCTGCAGCCGACAAAGGTAAACGAGCAGCAGAAAGAAAGTTGTGGCACCGGGATGGTGCACCATGCATCCTTCGTGAAAGTCATTAGATCGACAAATCCTGGACTTCAGTGACAGCCGGAACCATCCTGTCGGGATTCAGAAAATCCAGAATAATTCTAAGTGGAACTGATGCTGAGTCTGACGGCAGCTACACAGAAGAGGAAGCGGCGCTCTGTTTACCTCCGGAGGTCACGGAGTTGCTCAGAAGTGACACCAAGGATGAAGAATTCAATGGATTTAGGGAATTGGAGAGTTTGGTAAACTTGTTCTGTTGTTTATGTTGTAGTTTATCTGAAGAACTGTTCATATGTGACGGTAACAGTCTGTTGTTCTCTGTTCTATTGTTATTGCTGGAACTTGCCTTTCAACATGAAATGTTGGTTCCTGGTCTCTGATTTTATAAAATACATTTCCCCCAAAAAGTGCAACTTATAGTCCGGTGCGACTTGTATGTATTTTTTTCTTCTTCATTATGTATGGTACTCATTTTATCAAAACACAGTTAAGATCATTATAGTCAAGATTTAAAATCAAATTTCACTCTTTGGGCCAATTTGTAGGTTTGAAATTTTACTTTCTACTATTTCCTAGCAACCATGTAGTAGACTAGGCCCAAACCCCTCTGATGTACACCAACAGTTCTGCTGTTTGGCAAACAAAAATACAAGAAAACACCTTTATTTTCTGGTGAAACGGTGTTCATAGCGTCAGGAAAATGTGTTTCTTCTGATAAACATTTTCGACAGAATTCTCCCAGTGTGATGTCATTACTGTGTGACTGTCTAAAATAAAACTCACTACTTCCTATAATTATCAACAGATTTTTCAACTTTTCTTCACAAATTGTTTCTTGATTGGTGTAAAATTATAATTTATATTTACAACAATTTTTATCCCACCAGATTAAGTTAAAATGAGAGAATTTGAAAAACCTGTCCTGCACAATTTTAAGAAGACTTATTGTGCTTGTGTGTGCTGTATACTGTAATTATAATCTACGACACCGACGGATCATTGTTATAATTTGGACATTTTGAATAGCAATAGTCATTTAAAATTACTTAATAAAAGAAAATTGTTTGTTGAATTCTGTGTTAGAAAACTGTGGTGCCCAATAGGAGCTGATGTCGTTGTAAACCATTGATTATTTTCCCATTTGTACCAAAATTACTACAAGTGCTGCTGAAGCCTACACATAGCACAGATTAAGAAAATAAAATAGTAGTTTCAGTGTAGTTAGCTCCTCCCTGCAGGCAGATACAAGGCAGTGTCCACCAGCGTCTGACCAGAACTGAAGAACCATCTTGGATGAGCTGCGAAAAACGTTTTTGACCTAAATAAACATTTGTCCAGTTGACATATTGAATTTCTTTTTTGCCACGGATTCTAACTGGACGACCGAGCGACTCTACACACATTGGAGAAAGAAGTAAGAGCAGAAAATACAGGTTGATTGGCAAAATGGCATCTTGAAAATAAGCGACTAAAGATTATTCAAACATCCAAATACAACTCTAAGAGGATAAATAATTAGGGATGTAACAGTAACTCAAATATCGTGATTTTGTATTGTTAAAGGTCTCACAATAACATCATGGACCATCACAATATATTAAATTAAAAGTCTCTTCGCTTAAATGAATAGTTATGGTGCAGTAATAGCTAAAAAACAAAGGGAACTACAAAGACCATGATCCTTTGCTCCGTTTCAGTGCAGACTACATAAAGAAAGTAATGCACATACAAAGCACCTTTAAGATCAAGTGTAATAAGGGCACATTTACACTATCACTGAACCTGGAACTACAGAAGAAAACCAAGTCAACATCTACAGTTTACCTTTTTATTTTTCTTATCTTTTGCAACTTTTTTGGTGGATGGTCTGTGGATAGGGTTTTTTCCATACTGTGACATATTCCAAGCAAAGCAATTACCATAAAGTTTAAATAATATGGGGATCTTATGGTATGAAATAATGAAAAGTATGAACAAGCGTGGCATTTATTTTTGCTTATTATTACAGAAAAGAAATATTTACTTTATGTGATCTATCTTTGTATTTATGTTCTCTATGCATGTTCTATGTATTACTGTCCAAATAAACATTCATTCATTCAAAGTTTTATTGTGAAATTGTATGGGAAATTCAAGCGCATTGAAAACAATTCCCTAAATAAAATCACAGATATAAACAAAAATGTAGTTAAAGGTGCACTGTGTAATTTTTCTGGTGAAATGCTTTTATATGTGGAGATTAGGGATGGGCATGATTAGTCGATTGATCGATAATTGATCATTAAGAATTTCATCGATTACGTTCATTTTAATCGACAAACCGAATGTAGGTTGCTGTGCGTCGCGTGACCAAACAGGGGTCCTTACATGTGTCTCTCTGCACTCAAAAGGAGCGAGACACAAACAGTCGGTCAGTCTGCAACATGCCAAAGTGCAAATGCGTATATTTAACAATGACTTGTACAAGAAATTCCACGCTTTCCATTCCGGTCGGGACACATGTGAGTCCATGTGCACAGTGTACAAAGCAGCACATATGTTTCAGTGTCCAGTGGGAAAAAGTTTTACCAGGTGAGAGTCGCTCAATGTCGATGACGAGTCCCCACCTCCCTCACCCCGTACGGTGTCCTGGTTTTGACAAACGCAAATATGGTCACACTAACCTGTATTCCACTGAATCATGTCCTTTAATCCAACAGAAGTTGAACCACATCAGTGACACAAGAGCAGTTTTTTTTCCTTAGTTGATGCAAATTAGCCATGTGTTTTAAGTTTTGTTTCTGTGAGAGTTGCACAAAGCTGCATTAAACACATTTTAATGTCAAATGCCTGATGTGGCTCTAGAGTGGTCACAGTTTATATGTCGTAAAGTTGAATTTATTTATGCAGATTAGTAGTGCAGATAGTAATAATAATGATGATCATTTTAATATAAAAACGTTAAGTCGATCGTTAATTCTTCCGACGATCGATTAAGAAAATTTTTATTGAATTCCCATCCCTAGTAGAGATGTTATTGCTTTGTCTGAAGTGTTTCACAGTACGGAGCCCAAAACAGGCCACATTACCGGTCAGATCTGTGAAGAGTCATATCCGCTCACAGCCAGAATGCTTGTTTTTCTAGGCATTTTTGAGCTATAAATCCACTTTTTAATTGAATAAATGTAAGGCAGAGCTGTTTAGTAACCACCTTTAACTGTAAATTGTAGTTGCTTTTACTATTTCCTTCATAACGTTGCTTCTTAGAGCCGTGTGTCATCAGTAAATACAATGAGTGGGTTGTAAACAGAAGTAAAAGATGTACTAGGCATTGTTTCAAAGGTCAGAATTAAAACGTATAAATGCAACGATATCCTTGACATTTTCACTCTATACGTCTCCTCGGTAATTGGAAGAAGGAACAAAATACCCAATGTTAATATGGGCCACTACTACGCCAGTTACATATGTGAACACATCTATACACTGTCAATAATTCTAATATATTGTATTTAAGCGCCGTTTACTGTAGGTTCATAGATGTCACTCAAATGATCAGATAATACAATAAGTAAATAAATAAATAAATAAATAATGTCTATTCAGCAATGCCATTTTCTATCTACACCTATAGCTCGACCCTAATGCTCATTCAATTTCAGCTAATTACTCTTACAAATAAAGACGTGCTTATAGTCTGCACCATGGAAATCAATACAACTTTAATTATCTGTTTTTAATGAATGGGGGTAGTCAACTGGCGTGTTTCCATGGAGATGTTATTGCATTACCTATAATGCTTTACAATATGACCTTAAGTATAATCGGGTTGGTTTTATTGCGTAAAAATACCTTGCACTCCGACTGTGAGCGGGAATGTGACCTGTCACTTGGCCTGTGGATGTAGATAAATTAAATACATGTATCTTGCATTTATTCAGTTACAGGTTGTTTTAATGCTCAGAAATACCTTGAACACCTGCATTCTTACAGAGAGTACGGCCGGTGTTCTGTCGAAATGGGCTGCCCCGTTGAAATAAGCGACCTTAAGTTTTTCCGTTTACAGTTGTGTAGATCCAATTAAAATAACTTCCCCAGTTTTACAACATATTTCTTTGGATTAGAGATGCGGGTTTGATGCTGTTTGCACACGGAGATCAGAATTTATGCCTTATTTATGTCAAATTTCAACTCATTTATATGAATCTGTGTAGGTAGTTCATTTGGATAGTCGTATTCTGCTCAAACAGGGCTATGATTAAAGGAAGCACATACCGACAGGCCAATTTAGCCATCGAATAATGCTCCCACTTCACTTATTTCTATGAATTTGGGCAGAGATAGCTCATTTCGACAGGCCTATATCCTCTATCAAATAAGGCTCCCACTATATAAGAGAAAGAAATGACTGCAAACACTGAAATCTTTAGATTATATAAATATCATATGCTACAGTGTGAATTTCTTATTAAAATATAATGATATTTTATTTATGCAACGTCTTTCTAAACAAAGTTACAACGTTTTCTACACATGGAA